TGAATAAAATAAAACGAAACTATTACGAATAAACCTCTCTGGATATACCTACATGGGCAAATTTAGAGATCACTCAACTCATTTTTAATACGTTTCAATACTAAAAAAAAAGTTCGCCACAACAGTTAGCGATCATGAGATACACGTAAATTCGCAAGGCAATTTCTATGTTTGGGAAACATGATTCTAAAGAATAATTCAATGAAATTTTTTAAAATTGTAGTTCCAGAGGCTCCTGTTTGGTGCTCTGAATAACAATTCAATTCGCGGGGCCCATAGCATTTGCTACGTGGCTAATCCGGCACTGCCAACAACAACATTATAGAACATTCGACTCCACCTTGATATCCTGAAGAGAGCATTTCAAATTCATTGTCAAAATGTGATTCTTCATGATTTTCCTTATTCTTAATGGCTCTCATTTTTTTTCTATAAATGACACTTCGATTCTATTTTTTGATTATGTTTATCTCAACCTTTACATACATGTTAAACCGGTAAACATAAATCAAAAAACAAAATCGAAGTTTTTCATTTGGAAAAAAAAATCAGAGCCAAACAACATCGGATGATTTCTTTTCGCCCAACTGTAGTAACTTCATCTTAATTTGAATAAAGCCATTCTGTATTCCATAGTTGATAATGTTGTATTCTAATTTATTCAGAAAGTTGAATGAACCAGAAAGTTAGCGAATTTCACTCTTTGGAGACATTACCCAAAAATCAAGTACCTATTTTCACTGTACGAAAGCTTTTTTTTGTGGAAGTGAAAGGAGAATTTTCCAAAGGCAACAAAACTCGATTCATGAATTTCAAGTTCACTTCGTCCTCAAAAAAAATATTCAAGTGTAATTCGGTAAGACAATTTGATGAATACGTAAATAACACTATATTGTTGATGGTTTTTCCAATTTCTCCACTCGCAGACTCTCCGCGACACCCAGTAGGAGAGCCGGCTGCAGATTTCTACCGTCATCTGAGGACGAAATGATGATATATGTCCCAAAGGAGAGTAAAAATATTGTAGTTCATCGAACGACACCTGCGCCATCAATCACCATCCTGAGCAAAATGATTAAAAAATTGTACTTTCCTGTGCGGGATATTGGTGCCCGCGAGAGTCTCGCAAGGTCTCGTCTCGTTTTCGAGACAAGACTCGAGACGAGACTTGGACAAGACGAAACGAGACTTTTATTGGCCTCGTCTCGAGTCTCGTGTAAGACTTCTCGTGTCTCGTGCGAGAGTCTCGCAGGTAAATATTTCTGCGTGCCGACTGCCGACTTGAGACTTTCATTCATAATACAGTGCAGACTCGATAATCCGAACTAATAAAAACCAAGGCGATTCGGATTACCAAAAAATTCGGATTACCGAAGCAGTTTTTTTTTTAAATTTTTTATTACGAAATGCAAAAAAAAACATGAATTCGAAAAAGTAACACTAAAATATGCATAAAAGTAAGAATATAATACTAGTTTCTAAAGTAATTTGTAATTTTTGTTTGCTTAACACTACTCTGATTATTTATAAAGGCCATTTCTTTTAATCTTTGAAGTACAAGAATATCATTTAACGGAATATTATTTTCTTCCTTGCGTAATGTGAATCCCAGATACTAACAAAAGAACAATTAGGGGAATCCCTGAACATTTTACAAACAATTTTTATATGAAATAAATAGGCCTAAAGGTATAGGTTCGGATTATCGAGTACTATGAAATTCGGATTATAGAGTACTCAATGTATTAAAAATGCTTGTTCGGACTACTGAAGAATTCGGATTATTGAACGTTCGGATTATCGAGTCTGCACTGTACAACATATTTAGTAATAATGCAGACTATATTCAGCACAGATAGACAGAACATTTCATTCATAAATACTTCATGAAGGCAATTCTGCAATAACGACAGATCGCAAATTGAATGACTAGGTACCTGAAAATCTATAAATAAGTCATTCTGTGCTAAATAGTCTAAGATAAAGAATAACTTTGTTTTGACGGGCTGCCGACGCCACGGTTGCATCGCCTATCGTCTTTTAGTATGTACCTATTAGGTACTTATTTTTCAATAAATAATGTTATTTTTGTTGTAATTTTCTCTTTCTACTTTTACGTTATACCGAGCGTTACACCATTGAGTATTCACACTAGTAAATAATAAAAATAAAAGGTAAATATTCCGTACTAGACTGGAACAAGATTATGCATGACGAAATTGCGATACATTTGCGAGACTCTCGTACGAGACGCGAGACAAGACGAGACTCTACGCTGCGAGACGAGACTCGAGACAAGACTTCATATTTCATCGGCAAGACGAGACGAGACTTTATGAAAGTCTCGTCTCGTTGGTATCGTGTGAATCATTAGTGCGAGAATTTACACTCGATTTCGCGATTCGATAACGAGATATGAATTATGCCATCCGATACCAATTTAATGGTAGATCTCAAAAACCTACCTAGGCCACTCCTCAGTCTGAGCCAAATCCACGGCACAGCGATTTATTTACTCCTATTATTCCGGACATACTACAGTCATGTGATAACGAGTTGAAACAAGAATCAAATGAAACCAAAAAATTTACTTTTTGCGAATATCCAAACGTGCCGCGCAACAAACTGATCTAAGTTAGTGGCAGAGCGTCAATATTTCCTTGAATATTTCGCTCTTGTCGAAACATAATTTCCAATGGAACAGTTTGGAAGTCATGTGGTGCTCACACTACGAGTATTCTGATCCACATGTTGAGTTTTCCCCTGGTCTATCGGATATTATCTTCAGAGGGGCGCAAAATAGTCTGGGAAATATCGACGCTCTGCCACTTACTTAGATCAGTTTGAATCGCGGCACGTTTGGATATTCGGAAAAGGCGATATCATCCCCGTCAATTTGCTTCTTGTTTAAACTCGTTATCACATGACGGAAGTGTGCCGTGGATTTGGCTCAGACTGAGGGGCAGTGGCGTACCCAGAAGTGTACCTTGGGGGGGATATAATTTTTTTTTTCAAAATATATTTTTATTGGGAACTACAATAATTTTGAACATTACAAAATGGAATCTGGGCGCCTTGGTTTGAGAGCAATTTCTTGAATGATTTCTTCAACAGATACAACTACCTCTCTATGAATTATTGATAGCATATGGCAAGTCCATTGAGCATCCTTGGGTGGTAGTGTTCCTCAAATAGGTTTTGATGCGTTTCAAAGTAGAGAAGGTTCTTTCTGGTGTCGCAGTGGACACTGGCAATGTACAGAAAACTTTTAGAAGTAAGTTAAGTTTCAGTTGCTGATGTAGAAGCCACCCTATCATCATCCTCATCGTTGAATTTTCTTTTGAAAAATCTAGATAAATCACTTTGTTTCATCATTATCTAATTATACACTGAAGGTAGGCAAACATTGAACACTCAAACAACTGCACCTCTTACTTGTTATCGAATGTACAACTCATTACCTAAAATGAACGAACTGACTGAATAATATCGGGAAACCGTAGCCCAAGACCGAAAATCCCAGCGAAAGAACATTCGACCTACACTGAAAAATCATGCTTGCACTATTCGCAGAAATTTTGACGTATTTCTGTGGCATATATTCATAATTGACCAATTTGGCTACACAGATCAGTATCTAATTATTTGAATAATGAAACTAAAAGAATAAGAATATTTCTGATCATTTATGGCCAAGTTGAATGTAATGATCCCACCAGAGTTCAACCCATCTTATTCTCACTTTATAAGTTTATAACTGATGTTTTTCTATCGGCATATGGGCCATGCATGGGGGGGGGATATATCCCCCTCACCCCCCCTTAGGTACGCTACTGCTGAGGGGTGGCACAGGTAGGTTATTGAAATCTTTCATTTAATTGGTACCAGATGGCATAATTATTATCTCGACATATAATCGCGAAATCGAGTGCAAATTTCCGCACAGGAAAGTGCAATTTTCCAAATAATTTTGCTCAGGATAGTGAATAGCACAGGTGCCCTTCGATAAACTATAATGTTTTCACATGCCTTTGAAACATATATCATTTCGTTATCAGATGATCGAAATTCGCAGCCGGCTCATATATGGACTATTAGATACTTTTCTGACAACGCATGATTGGGAAAAATTTACATTAACGCCATCAAGATCCGTTCACAATTCTGGTTGTCATGGTTTCAGATGTAAGGTTCCGTTTTGTTGATTGAAAACTCAAGGCAAAATTTTGTCGCTGTCACAATAACAAAATCACAGGCTTATAGAAATTTTTATACATGAATTGAATTTTCAGAACAAGAGTCATATTCAAGCAAGAGAAATCACAATTCCTGAAACTCGTGTAATTATTGCTATTGAAAACATTGTGTAACATGTTCTCGACCAAGAAAAATACCAAAAAAATCTGCCCCAACCCATAGATTAACGTCGTTAATCTATGCCCAACCGAAACCCAATGAAAATCTTGAAATAGCATCTTATTCTGGGGCGCGATTCAAATTTGACCAGTTCATTATAAATGATGTTTCCAGAATCAGGGTTCAATAATCTGAAATATAATCATTGACACTATCTTAGTTCCAATTGACTAATCTAAATTGAAATAATCTTGATGAATTACAATTGATCAATTTGCTAACTGAGGTTTCTGAGGTGCAATTGGAAAGGGTGCAATTGATGCTGACTGCGGAATCATATTGAATTCTTGATCTTGATCAATTTTCCACTTACACGAGGGCTTTTTTTTGTCGAAGTAAACTTGACATGTATCAATAAGAATTTTGTTGCTTGGCAATTTGACGAAGAAAACTGCCTCTGAAAAATATAAGAGTCTGTAGGACGAGTAATTTTTTCTGGCAGTTTTTTGAGTTGAATTACCTTATGGCAACACAATTCGAATTATGAATGCCAACTTTTTTCGCTGTCATGATGACAAAGCAAGCTGCTTGTGGGATTTTTTATACATGAATTAAATTGTCAATAGAAAAAATACTGTTTTGATCCGATAAAACTATATGCACAACATTTATTAAAACATCACTTTTTTACTCTAATGTTATCTACATTTCAATATATTTTTTCAATAATAATAATAATAATATTAATATGGAACGTAATATATTATAGTTATCAATAAATTCAGGCAGAAACAGTTTCTACTATAGATTTTTTGATTATTTCCCCGAAATTTTCCTCGCAGTTCTCGGAGCTGGTGATGTTTGGAGGGTTCTCAGAATTTTCTTTGAATTTTCCTACCCTTCCTGCACCGTTTGTCATTCTCGAGTCTTCACTTGTCGCAGAGTTATTGCAGTTGTTTCCCTCTCCATATCCCGGGTAACTGCCGAATCTGCCATTCAGCAGATCAGTAAACGTTTCATTCTTATTATTACACCCGACAGGAATCAAGCTTGCATACTGGCTCTCCTTAGAAATTGTGCTTCCAGATGCAGAGTTTCCATTCGAATAATTCTCATAGCTAGAGTTCTGCTGAAAACTCCCTTCGGCCTGCTTAATGCCGAATTCAGGCGCATACAAAGCGGCGTAGGTATTAAATGCTGGCGTGAAGTCGTTGAAGCCGCTCTGGTAAGGCTGCGAGTATTGATTCGTAGGAGGCGTGGAGTAGGGGGGAGGATTGTCCGGAAAATCGACATCAGTGAATCTAGGATCGGGAAATTGAAATCCTTGGGTGGGCGATAAAGGATGTTTCCTTTCGGCCGATGTACTTTCTTCGTCGACGTAACAATTCTCCCTGAAAGAATACAAATCCAAAGAATCCGCACGATCGGGAAGGTTGGAAAAAGTCGTGGTGCTGTTCATTACCTGACCAGAACTCTCTCTTGCATAGCCATAATGAAGATTTGTATAGTTTCCATTGTGTACACAGTTCTCCACCTCAATATTAGCCCCTAAGTTTATGTCCCTCAACAAATTAGCATTGAATTTATTAACACCTAATTTACTACTTGATATAGTTTCCTTGTCATTCCCAGTTAGCCTCTCATTATCCATCCAGCTAGTTGACTGCTTATCTGATTTCATTTCCTCTTTTTGTTTTTCCAATTCTAGCTTCATCAGAGTATGTATGAAATGAGTACGGACTCTTACAGGGTTGAACTCTATTCGACCGCTAGTATTTCCACAGTTGTCATGTGAACAACCACAAGGAAAATTCAATCTGTCCACCTGACACTTGATACCAGCCTGGCTACAAGAACATGTATCCGGATCACAGTAACCTTTACATCCACAGCCACAAAATTCTCTAGAAGTTCTTATGTCTCTACATTCGTCTTTTTCTAGAGCATCTATCTTTCTCACGCCAGCCGCTCGCAGTAACACTCTTCTTTGTCTAGTTGGTACAGGCTGCAAGAAATAGTAGTTGTCAAGGTCCATTTCAGATTCAGAAGCATCACTGGGCTCATCTTCACTGTCACTTTCTTCACTAGATGAGGGCACGTTCCCCGTAGAGGCATTCCGTTCTGTCCTCAATTGCTGCAACAATTGCCGGTGGATTCTACGTTGCTCCACAGCATGTTCGGCCAAAGTGAATTTTTTCATATGGGTGTGTTGTGCCCCCATGCCTAAGGTAGACCCTCCTTGTGATGGGACGCATGTGAAACCTTGGGCTCTAGGGAAGTAAAAAACTGTGACGCTGTCGAATGTGATTCCTCGCCGTTTTTTCACTTTCGGTTCGTCGCTATGTTCAATGGATAATTTTCTTTTGAGATTGCTTTTCCCAGGAAGGCCTGACTTCAACTGTGCGCCGCTCAAAATATCACCTATGTCTTCCACAGCATCTTTCAGGTCTAAATTATGTTCCAGTCCTTCACATTCAATCGCAGGAGTTATATTCACTTGACTAGCAAACTCTTCAAACTGACTGTTAGTTATAGTACCTTCATTCAATTTATACAGGAATGAAACTTCACAGTTATTTTCGACAAGCGTATGACTCTTTTGTGGCCGTTCTTCGTTCACATCACAACCAAACCCAGAGTCTGATCCATCGGACCTATCATGAGGTTCTTCAGTGAGTTCTCCGACGGAAGGTGGTAGGCTTTCAGTTGCAGAGTCTTCGCCATCAGTGATGACTGGTCGCGAACTGGTTTCTGTCCTATCACCACTGCAATCTATTTCTTCGATGATTGATTCTGGTCCCGATTCTGGATGATGTCCCTCCATTGTAAGGTTTCCTTGTGGGTTTGCCGAAGAGTCTGTGGATATCGATTCGTTAGACCCCATTGAATCTGAGTCTATTGCTTTGCTTCTGGACTTCGTCTGGAGACGCCATTATAACCTGGAAGAAAAAATACTGAGTTGATGATTTTGACTTCGAATGAATGAGAGGAAACAGATAATATACAGGGTGAGTCATAACTATTGGGACATATACTGAGAAAACTCGGCAAAGTAAATTGTTTTCTTGAAATAAAGTCGATTGTGACAAGAACATTTTCACCAACGGTAGGAAAATATGGTACTTGCAGTAGGCAAAACTACACGGAGAAAAAAAATCACTAGCCCTAAGTGAGTATTTAATAGTGGCAAGTAAAAACTTGTATACTATATGGGACAAGGAAACAAGTTAATAACCACAAGAATATTCGTGTTCCTGAAAATGTACACCTACCACTATTGACCTGTTTCATTAAATTTCAGAGTGATAACGGTAAGTGAACACATCACTTGTCATCAGTGACCTATTCAATTGTCATTAGTGACTCATTCACTTTTCATTAGTGACTTGTTCACTAGTCATTAGTGACCTAATTACATGTCATTAGTGACTTATCTACTAGTCATCAGTGACTTATTCACTTGTCAATAGTGACTTATTCACTTGTTATTAGCTAGTATGAAAAAATACCTCCATTGTTCTCTGAAAAATGATAAAACGTTGATGATAAGACAAAAACACATGCATTCAAAACATTTTATTATATAGGTATGATGAATCCAGAAAATACAAAAAAGGTAAGGCTGACGACAAATATTGAGATACTATATATATTTCTGGAACGAAGTTTCTGCTGTAAGTGATCAGAACACTTCTTGGTATCAACCAAGTCGATATATGTACTTAGAGTTCGCTGATTCTAAGTGAACACTAAACTAGTGCTAGGTTAACGAATACTCACTATTATTAAATTATTATTCTGATATAAGATCACTTGCTCTGAGCGAACTCATCAATAAAGACAATCTATCAAGTCGATTGTTGCAGGTGACACCTCACCTGTAGTTATAGATCTCTTTTCCGTTCGGACATCTCCGATATTATTCGAGTACCCACGCCTCGACCCACGCCCAACGCGATCACTGTCCAGTGTCCATGCACGAGTCCACGGCGTCATTTCGATCTAAGCATTCGTGAAGTTAGTATACTTGCGTTCCCGCTAGTAACATTTCGAAATTCCAAGTCATGCAAGTGCCCTTTCGAACAACTACTATATCATATTCGTATGAGAATTCTCTGTTTGTGAACCGTGCTCTGTGGCCGTGCTCTGAGCTGTGGGGTGTTGAGTGCTTGATCTGTTCTCTTGAAGGAGATAATGAAATACAAAACTCTTCTAGAACAGTACAAAATTGTTTCTACATATGTACAGGATTTTTTTTCACTCCCTATGATACTCGAAGTGGAAGGAAGTGACGTTTAAAAAGTATGAAAGTTGATTCATCTTCAATGCTGGAAGGAAAAAGATAGTGAACCAGAGTGCAGTGCAGTGAGTGAGAGTACCGTTTATCTCGGTGCATGATGCTGATATACGCGGTATCTAGTATCTCAATATTTGTCGTCAGCCTTACCTTTTTTGTATTTTCTGGATTCATCATACCTATATAATAAAATGTTTTGAATGCATGTGTTTTTGTATTATTACCAAGATTCTATCATTTTTTAGAGAACAATGGAGGTATTTTGTCATACTAGCTAATGACAAGTGAATAAGTCACTATTGGCAAGTAAATAAGTCACTGATGACTAGTAGATAAGTCACTAATGACATGTAATTTGGCCAATAATGACAAGTGATCAAGTCACTAATGACTAGTGAACAAGTCACTAATGACTAGTGAACAAGTCACTAATTACTAGTGAACAAGTCACTAATGAAAAGTGGATGAGTCACTAATGACAATGGAATAGGTCACTGATGACAAGTGATGTGTTCACTAACCGTTATCACTCTGAAATTTAATGAAACAGGTCAATAGTGGTAGGTGTACATTTTCAGGAACACAAATGTTCCTGTGGTTATTAACCTGTTTCCTTGTCCCATATAGTATACAAGTTTTCACTTGCCACTATTAAATATTCACTTAGGGTTAGTGATTTTTTTTCTCCGTGATATAGGATAAGGGCGGATTGTTTGGACCAAAATATGGCGATAGGACTAAATATGCCTCGAAATATGCCTTTATAGAATATTGCTGTGGAAATAGATACAGGGCGTTGAAGTTGACTTTTTATTTTAGTTTTTTCCCAATAATTTCACTGTATATTCATCAATTGATATCAACATTGCCACAGAGGCATAATTTCACACAGGGAATATTATTTTATGTACTATTTTACATTTTGATACAAGGGGCGCCACGTAAATGATTCCTGATGATGAAATCGCCTGGTTATTTTTTTTCGACGAAACTTTTGAGTGATTTTGATTAAAAAATATGACCTAAACATCATTTCTAAGTAATATTGGTACTCTTGTTCGAACACGATATTCTCATCCGTTTTCGAAAAAAAAAACGCTATTGAACAGTTCAGAGTCTCAGAAGTTGATTATAAAAATCATTTCATTCATGAAGAGTGTGCTTTGAACTGTCAGATAACGTTGCTGGTAATGGTATTTCTTGTCAGAGAATGAATTTTGGTGCGAGTTTATAGTCAACATTTTTTCGATTGAAATGCCTCGTCACAATCATTTTATGAATGAATAAATGCGGGATGCAGCCAAAAGGTATGAATTGGAATATCTCCAATATATAGGCAGAAAGCAACCAAATCAAAAAACTTTTTCAAATATATTTCATATACAGTGAAATTATTAGCAAAAAACCGACAAAAAACGAAAAAATCAACTTTTACGCCCTGTATCTCTTTTCACAGCAATATTTTATCAATATCAAGGCATTTTTGGTCCAATCGCCATATTTTGGTCCAAATAATCCGTCCTTAGCCTATGTCCCAATAGTTATGAATCACCCTGTATATGGGTACGTATGAACATATCTATTTACGGAGGTGTAGGAGAACCCCGTGTTTTGTTTGTTTTTGAGGTCGATAGAAATTTCTACTTTTATCAGGAAAATTCTGATATTATCTTGACTTTTTTTTTATGTCGAAGATACGACTTTTTTCTAGAAATTTCGACGTAAAATGATGAAAATTATTGAAATCATCAGCCTGCTATCCTCACTGAGATGACCTGAATTCGAATCTCATTTGTAACGTTATTCATCTGACAGTTCTCTGTGATTTGCAGAACCAACATCAACCAGTCACAAGAAGTTAAGTTTCAAGGTAGAATTACAACATTATGAAGGATGTTCAAGGTTTAACTAGAGTCACTGGATGGTATTAGTTTGATAAACTAATACCATCCAGTGACTCTAGGTTTAACTATCCTTACTTTGAGAATCCATAAAATAAATTGGAATATTTCAAGTTTGTTACTTCATTTTGTTGTGCAAATACAGAATAATCACAAAGGACTTAATGTACATTCGCATAAATAAATATTTTCATGTCATTTTTATTGCAATCGCGTATGATTATTAGATCGAATGATTTTTTCATTCAATCCATCAATAAGGCCTCAGTAAAAAATTCAGAAGAATTTGATGAAAGGTGAAAGAGCTACAAAAGATATATTAAAATAAACACTGAATATTGGTACCATCAATGATAATATTTCAAGTTAGGAAACGATAGTTTCAGTTTCGATTGAGTTAAAAATTGAAAACCAAAGAATTCAGCAAACTCCGCATTCCTATATAGTGTCCACAACAATACAAAAAAAGTCAGTGAGTCCAGTTAGGTCTGGGACATCTAACATTCCTCAGAGCGAAATTCATGCATTTCAAAAAACATGAATGATGTCAATGATTGTTTTAGATAAACTGCTTGACACACGAGTTGACACATAAAGGGGTCCTCCTGTATACCGGGTGTCAACGAATCTATTAGACAAGTCATAACTTCTAGACCATTAGGTGTATCAGAATGAGATTTGGTTTCAGTAAATGGTATGTGAAGAGGGGAGTTTTCACATATTTTCCACTTTCCGGTCATTTCCGGTTTCACCGGAAATGGCTCCGGTTCTGGACTTTTAAATGGAACACCCTGTATATTGTAACATTTTTGGATTTCTGAGACAATTCTAGATCAGAATGTGCCATTTTCGAAAGTTTTTATGCCTACTTAATCAAAATGCGATGAGAGAGGGCAATTTTCAAGAAAGGTTTGGCGTCAATGTCTGGGCTGGTATTGTTGGAAACAGAATAATTGGACCAATATTATTGGAAGGTCAGTTAACAGGGGTTAGGTAATTAGGTTTTCTTCAGAATGAAATCGAGGATCATCTTGATAATATACCTTTAGCAGTTTTAAGGCGAATTTACTTCCAACAAGATGGAGCACCTCCTCATAATACCAGATACGTTCTTGATTACTTAATAGAGCATTCCAATAATCAAGTTATTGCAACCAATGGACCAGTACGGTGGCCTGCACGCTCACCGGATCTGACTGTGATAGATTTTTCCATTTGGGGATATGTTGAAGAAAGGGTCTACTCTATGCAACAGCCCCAGCCACTCTCGAAATCTTAGGAAAAAGGATTCTACAGGCATTTAGAAGTATAACGCCACAAATGTTACGAAACGTGTTGAGAGAAACAATTGAACGAGATGAAATGTGTCTTGAACAAGGAGGAATGCGCTTTGTAAATTTACTATAGTGAAAATTTTAAGAAATCAGGAAATTGAAAAAAATGTAAGTGCATCGCTGAAGTTATTGTTAATTTTGTTAAATTTGTTGATCCAATCGCAAATAAATTACTATCGATAGATTCGTCAAAATATCCTTTTTTTGAAAAGTGCTTGTCAAAAAATGGTCGTCATTTGAAAAAAATTAGTTAGACACAAAAATGAAATTTTGCCAACTTGTCTTATTCATATCTATCATACTTGTCACTAAAACTTCGCGATTGTAATTTTCTGATATCACCTGAGGTCCTTAGATTAGTTTACTTGCGATCATGGCCACCTAGATGTAATTTCAAAAGTGACTCC